AGTAGTCCACTATATGATCCCCTATATAACCCCCCTTAAAGGAGTTTAGAGTATAGCCAAACATGCCAGGACCCTCCCCCAAGCAAGACAGATGATTTGTTCAGACCCACCCGGTTGTCGTTCAGGGTGACACTAAAACAACCCTAAATCCTGAACCCTAAACACTAGCTTCCATTTCAATTTCAAGGCTCTTTTCCTACTCCAATGTTAGTGCTCATTGCTAACCCCAGGGTCCCTGGAGCCCACATCATTGAACCATCATCCGGAAGAATCAGCTGGAGAAGCAGGTTCCCATGCTTAAGTTTCGTGATTCGTGTTCACAAATTGACGAGAAAAAACAGTAAACCATAAACCCTGAACCATATCAAGAAGTGGAAGCAGGGAGATTGGGAATGCATGACCGCCCAACTCTTCTTACATGGCGCCACCCGGAAATCCTGCACTACCCAATGCACCACCGCCAAACAGCGTACCAACCTTACAGAGACCCTGAACTATACCATGTAATCCCTTCCCCTAGTCTTTGAATCTCATACTAGATAACACAAATTCCGGGGACTCAACATCTGAAGAGCTACTCAGGAAGAAGCGATGAGTTCCGCCACTTAAGCGCTGCGAAATGATATGCAATGATCCTTCAACTTTGTACCCTCGCCTCCCAAAAAGCTGTAGGAATGCAGCCTATGATGCTTCTATTGGGGTTATATTGTCATGATGGAAAATAAAATGGAAACTACTGTTTAGGGTTTAGGGTCCCATGATGTTGCCCTAAAGCCCTGAACCATATGCCCGGATCACTACTATCCTAAGAGCCCCGAACACGAAGCAAGCAACAAATGCGGCCCTCCCTTAAATACACCTCAAAAACTACCGTCTGAGAGGAACCCATTTTCTGAGAAAAAAAACATTTGAATGAATCTTAACCCTAAACCCTAAACGCGAAACCCTAAACCCTAAACCCTAAACGCCTCCTGGTCTTCGGAATCTTCATGGACTTCTTGTTCCTCCTCGGGCTCTTCCTCCTCTTCCTCTCGGGCTCCGTGCTTCGGGCTTTAAGTCCCTGAGCAATCCCTATGCCAGTTTAAGGTTTAGGGTTTAGGGGTTTAGGGTATAGGGTTTAGGGGTCGAGGGGTTTAGGGTGATAGGGGCCAGGGTTCAGCTTTCAGGTTTAGGGTTTAGGGTACTGTAAGGGGTTTACAATATACTACCAGAAAGGTACTACACAGGAAGTTCCAATCAGGGATCTTCAGTCTGTAGGGACCCTCGGGTTGGTTTGAATGTCAAGAGTTCAAAGATTCAAAGGATCTAAAATTTGTGCTACAGTCTACACTCCTGGTACCCCTCTTGATAAGCCCTATAATACTCTCCCCTATACAATCCCCTCCAGTATATAGGCCCCCTGAAAGGAGTTTAAACCCTTAACCGTATATAACCCGCTTCAGGAATGTATACCATAGCTCATTCGGGGTTAACTATTGATTCACATAGGCTCGGGACTTCAGAATTCAGCGTCTGGCGTTTAAAATAGGGTTTAGGCTTACCTTGTTAAGGACTTCGGGCTTTCAAACATGAAGCTGGCTGATAATACTCAAAGTTGCCCCTGCGAATGCTCCAGAATCAACATCGGAGGCGAGAAACTATGGTTTTGCTCTACCTGTAGCCCAAAAGCAAAACCCCTTAAAACAGCACAAAAAGCTATAATTGTACATACTCTTGGGGTTCAGGCAAAGACGCGAGTAATAATTGCCATAGGCAGCTGTAATCCCAGAAGCTGTCTGCCTCTAGCCGCAGTAGTGCATGAAAGAAGTAATTGCTGCCGTAACACCTCTCATCTTCACTACAAATTACCTGAACCCCAAATGCATGTAGAACAATAGCCCTTCGGGCGCTTCTTTAAGGGTTCTGGGCTATTATGTTGCCTACTTTTGGGCTCCAGGTACTATAGAATCAATCCTTATCGGGGGAGAGGATCCCTATACCCATCTGCGCACTCGTATAATCCGAAACAATACCTATGTTCACTCCTTCATTCCCCTTAAGCACAGTAATCCGTGCTTTAGACGCTGACAAACCAGCCACTGGCTCCTAAATCAGATCATGCTGGGCTTTCAAACTCATGCTCCTTGTAGTCCAAAGTAGATAATAGTTACAAACTTTAAGGCCCAACGTAATTAAGTAGGTATTGTTAAAAGTCTCGGATCCCCAGGACTATCTAGAGGATACTATGCAGTTACTTTTTTTGCAATCATAACCCCCTTGCTGGTATTGTGCGTAAACCACGCAGCAGAGCTTACTTTCACGAATTCAACCAACCCGGCTGGACGCCCACGTTCTGGCAAGCAACCCCTCTGGCAGCCCTGCTCGAGGAAATACATCATGAACAGCCACTCGAACGCTGGAGTGATGCGGCCCGTAAGTACCCTGGCTGCCACGTGAATGGTGGTGCAGTCCCTCAATGCTACCTCGAAGTCGATTTCATTTTCAAATGCGCACCGCTTCGCCACTGTAGGCCGCAGGGTATGACTCCAGCTTGCACACTCAGGCCCAAGGATCTATGGCCCCTGGCAGCACCGAGGTAACACGTGTTACCTCCATTGGCAACGCCGACAGTAGGGGCCTTGTCGGGTCGAGCAAGGGGACAGCCTGCAAAAAGCTTCCAAATCATGCAACGTCGTGTTGTTATGAAAGACAGAGGAAGAGGGTTCAGGGTTTAGCGTTTAGGGTATAGGCTTTACGGCTTAGGGCTGAAGGGTTTAGCGTTTAGGGATTAGGGGTTTAGTGTTCCCCAAAACCCCTATACGAGCCTTCTGCGACCCTCAAATGGTATCTACCTACCTATCTGGGGGTGCCCTTGATCAGTAGCCCTTGGGAAACTTTAAGCCCCAAACCCTAAACCTCTAAAAGCCTGAACCAACCACAGAGGGTTCCGGGATGTTCCGGGCACGTCCTCCGCATCCGCGGCATACTCGGAGGACACCTGAAAGTTTCTCAAACTGTTTCCGAAATTAGGGTTTAGGGTTTAGGGTTCAGGGTTCAGGGTTTAGGGTTTAGGGTTTAGGGTGTAGGGTTTAGGGTTTAGGGTTTAGAGGGGATATGGGGTTCTAGAGGGTCATAACTATAGGGGTAAACAAGGTCTGGTGCTTCGGGTTTGGGGGACCGTGATATACTTGATATCATAACCTGCTGAGCCAGTATGCTATGATACCATCATTCCCACGCTTAGGGGTTCTTAAGGTCACGCATGAGCTTTTAATAGCAACCATAACGGGGCCCTAGTGGGGATACCGATGAATGAAACGGGTCGGAATAGAGTGAACGCTTGGCCATACGGAATAATGAAAAGGGTACGGAACAGAGCAAACTTTTGCCCTGTGCGGAATAGCAACAATGCAGAAACGGCATAGCGGCATTCCTTGAACTGACAAACCAGAGAAGCAGGAGGGAAGAGAGGCCAGCCAATTTCTAAGCCGGTCTCTACCCTAAGGCTCTTCCAGGGTGTAGGGTTTAGGGTTGGACCCTCAAAATGGGATCCCATGCCTTAGCCTCCAAAGCCCAAATAGTCCTAGGAGCCTGAGGGTCAGCAAGCGGAGAACCCCTAAAGGACAGGAGATGCAGGGACACAGGCAGAGACAGGTTGAAAAGCTGTGAGCCCAAGAACCCCGCCTTTGAAATTCCTCCACAATCCAGCCTCCCCGAACAACTTTTCCCGGCGGCCCCCGGTTGGAAGCGTCTAGTTGCTGTTTTGGGGGCGTGGTATAATCAGAACCCCCCGCCTCCGTTATGAGCATCCAGGGGTTTGAAAGGGTTGGAAAGGTCCCTTAAACCCTAAGCCCTATCAAGCCTAAACACTGCAAACTCCCAAAAAAATACAGCCGCCATAAACCACAGACCGTTTGTTTGAGGATGATCTCAAGAAACTCCCGCCTCGGACGGTCCAGCAGATGGGTGCATCCCCTCTGCTTGGAGCCTGAGCCTAAGCTCGTTTGTGGTTTAGGGTTTAGAGTTTGGGGTTGGAGGCCTAAGCTCACTCATGCTCAGTTGGGCATGGGTACTGCAACAGAAAATGGAAACGACGAATACCGGGGCCTAGAGAAAAGCGCGAATATCATCTTGAGGTCTATTAGAAGTACCCTACACATCATTGTACAAAGAATCTAATACTTGGCATTTCTTTAGATCGCTTTTGTATGCTATTTGTTGTGAATAACTGTGGTAGTATTACCTGTCTTGGGCCCTAATTTGGGCTATTTGGCTCCTTACATGAACGCAGAAAGGAAAACGGAAACAGCGATGTTATTATCTAGAGTTTAAGCTTGTAGGCTCAGGCTTCAGCTTCAGATCAACTCCAGCGTCTACCCGAGACCCTGCGACCAGAAACTCCTATGTAGCTCCTTTCCTCGGGTAGTATCCTATAGGCCCTTCCCAAAGAATCCGAAACCCAAAAAAGGAACTCCACAAGCCCCTTGGATAAACCATGCTTTTTGCCAAGCTACAGTTCCTGCTGCCGTCGAAGCAACTCGCCTTCCCTTGCTCTTTCCTTGGAGGATCTAAGGCTCACCTAGACCTCTGTAACCTACCCCTCTTTCAGACGACCTAATATTGTATATAAAGGATGGTAGACGTAAGGTTAGGTATCCAAAAAAGGGGTAGAATTTAGGTGTCTAGGTATGGTTTGAGCCAGGGGGGTTAGGCTTTAGGGATTCAGAGGCTCTGCGAAATCCCACAAAGTCCCTAAACCCACTATAAAGCCCTCTCCCACACCCCAAAGCAAAAAACAACCCGCTAACATGTAATAGCACCACTTTCGAAACTTATGACTGGGGGTTTGAAGTCTTCTGTCTTTCGGGGAAGGGATTCATCTCGTGATTCATCCCCTTAGCTTATGTACATGCTAAGCCTGAAGCCCAAAACCCCTAACCCTCATCCAAAAGGCCGAGAAGCCCTGAACCCCAAATCCTAAACCCAAAGGTTAAGTAGGTCAACGACTGCGTCTCAGTGGCCTCCGCGGCACGCCGTCGCTCAAGCTCTTGCTGCCGTTGCAGTTCGCCTGCCTGTCGCTGGCGCTCCTCGCAGCTTTGCGATCTTGTGAGAGGTTGAGAGCCGAACCCTAAACCCTACCTAAGCCCCAAAAGTATGTAATATAATAGCCCTAAACCCATACTAGTAGCCATAAAGGCCATTATTTTGCATGCTTTTGGGGTCCAGGTAAACCAGAATTTTGGGGATTTGGGGATTCAGGGCTTTAGGGACTTTGTTGGGGGGTTTGCAGTGCTTTACAGCCAAGGTTCGGGGGTTTAGAGCAACTGTTACTGAGGGGGGGCAGTACCGAACCTAAACCCTAAACCCTAAACCTTAATAACCCCTATTGTAGTTCCCTATATAATCCCCTAAACAACCACCTTTAAGGAGCCCACATGGCGCTCCTCCTCGGCTCGTAGAACATCGCCCTGCTGAGCTCGTTGACGTTCGGCCTCTTCGGCCCTGAAGCGCTCTTCTGCCTGCACTTTGGATTTCAAGGGGTTATAGGGGTTAGGTATTAAGTCCCTAAAGCCCTGAACCCCTAAATCCCCCAAGTTCTGGTTATACCTGGGCCCCTAAAGTATGTAAAATAATGGCCTTAAGGGCGATTATTATGGGTTTAGGGCTATTATGTTACATACTTTTAGGGTTTAGGTAGGGGTTAGGCATTGGGGTTCAGGGTTTACTTGAACCCCACAGGTATGTAGGATAATAGGCTGTTGTGCTGTTTTCTGGGTTGTGGGCCATTATTTCACCTACTTTCGAAGTCCTGGCCGGATTCAAGGACTGAAGATTTAGGGTTTTGGGGTGTCATTCGGGGTTGCGAGGGTTTAGGTCTAAGGATTTCAGCTTGCTTGTTAAGAGACTTGTGGTTCAGGAATTTTGGTTGCAGGCTTTAGAGTAAAAGGCACACACATGGCAGCAACGGCATGGGCTGCTGACAACGATGGGAGCAGTAAAAGGTAGGGCCCCTAAGTTATAACTTGGGTTCTACATGGTTATACGTAACTATTACTGGGGAGAAGTATAGTTATCTGTCCATTAACTACAGTTCTGAAACTTATAAGTATGATTATGTAACTGGGGGACACCACCCTGTGGTACACAGCGAAGCGGTATTCATATGAGAACCATCGTAAAAACAACTCCCACAGTACCACAAAGAAGTAGCAGAGAAGAAGATTACTGCTTGTGACATTGTACACAAATAGGTGAAAATCCTTCAGGCGGGGGGCCCCTTACAATCTCCCTTCCAACCCCATACTTGTAAGGTCTTCTGAAGGTACCCCACATTTCAGAAACCACGAACTGTGCTTAGTTCCTGTGCCTGGGCCCTCAGGCGGCGCTCCTCAACGGCTCGGAGATGTTCCTCTTCCTGAGCTGCTTGAAGCTCCTGATCCTCTGCCTCATCCTCCTCGTCATCCTCTTCATCCCCATCCACATCCTCTGAATCATATGAATCATCTTCATCCTCAGACCTCAGGCGATCCTCCTCTTGGCCCCTGAAGCATTCCTGCTGCTGAGCTCTCAGACGCCTGTCCTCCTCCAAAGCGAAAAGTCGTGCTTCTTCCAGAGCTTTGAGATGCTCCTCTGCCTCAGCCCTGAGGCGCTCTCCCTCCGCCTCAGCCATCAACCTCTCTGCCTCTGCTTCCGCCCTGAGGCGTTCGGCCTCCTCTTCAGCTCTTAAGCGCTCGGCCTCTGCTTCAGCCCTCAAGCGCTCTTCTTCCTGCGCCCTAAGGCGCTCTTCCTCCTGTGCCTTGAGGCGTGCATCCTCCTCAGCTCTGAGGCGTTCTTCTTCCTCCAACCTTAGCTGCTCGTCACGCTCCGCCTTCTGCTGCAGGAGCACCTGGCAAGGGACATTCAACAGTCTCGGCATGAGGAATCTTATGCATCTCCACGACGACTGGGACACATCCGAATGAAGATCTGCTACTTGTATAACCCCCCCAAATAACCCAAGTTTGCGTGGCGGCTCCTTCTTTGGAGTGCGATAGACGATACGGGCTACTGCTGCCCCTACGCATCTGTTTTGACCATCAGCGGGATCGCCCCGGACCTCAAAATGAGAACCCCCTAAACTCCTAACCGCTAAACCCCAAAAGCCCAAAACCCCAAAACCCCAAAACCCTAAACCCCAGAACCCTAGGCCCTACATATGATAGCCCTAAGGCTCATCTTGAGGGTTGTGGCTATTGAAAAAAAGCATTTTCCATACCAGTGATCCTGTTTGTGAGGGCAAACCCCTAGGTACCTGAAACCTTGGCAAATACGGCGCTTTAGTATTTTTTCGCGGTCATGCAGGCAATATATATACACTGCCCTCAGTAGGTCTACCCTAACCCCCAAACCTTCGTCCCGACTCTCTGAATCCTAGATTTTCTCACCCTAAACCCTACCTAAATCCTAAAAGTATGTAAAATAATAGCCCCAAACCCATAATAGTAGCCATAAAGGCCATTATTTTACATACTTTTGGGGCCCAGGTAAACCTAAATAAACCCTAAACCCACGGGGGACGGGTTTCATCCGTCTTCGCACTGCCCCCCCTCTGCACCTCGGCTGTGTCCACCAACCACGACTCCAGCCTTCAGTTCCGGATGTTTTGGGGGTTTTGGGGTGTAGGGGTTTAGGATTTTAGGGGTAAAGGTTCGAGTGGGGTCAGATCTACTTAAGCCTTCCCACAGGCATATGTTGTTCCTTTTGGATGTACCATAATAACTCCTTAGCAGAAAGCGTCACATACGCACAAGGAACCATACAGGAGGCTTGTTTAGTAGGGTTGAGGGGTAAGGCTTCTGATCCCATGTCGCTACTGCAACTTGATTCTCTGTATGTAGAGGCTTCTCAAATTCAGGCCCCGCGCGTGTCCCCTGAAATGTAACCCCCAATACAACACGCACATGGCCCCATCTGAAGAAAGCCCATAACCGTCTGACGGCACCGCGATGAACTCTTGAAAAGAGCAGTTCCGTGCCGCTACTTCTCAAACGGCAGCTTATGGGACCCTTCGGGGCGCCTTCCTCATGAGGAGGATTGCGAAATGTTGCTTCTACTAGGGTATAGGGGAGTTAGCGGGACCTGTGTACCCCTAGCGCATTACCAAAGTCCTTCTCAAAATGACTTGAAGGAGCGTGTATGGTGTTAAGAAACTCCAAACCCATTCTCTGAACCCGAATATCCCTTTCTCAGTTGCTGAGTTCCCTAGGCACAAACAGTCTACACTTGTTTTGACCTTGTGTTTGCTCTAAAGGAATTATAGGAATCCACAAAACTGTGAAGCTGGGCTGACCCAGCTGGCAAACGTTGTTGTCGCTAGTGCAAGGGTGCCCCCTAAGCCCTAAACCCTAAAACCCAAATTCAGGTGCCGGGTCCTTCTTGGATGTGCCCTGAGGGTTTACAGTAAAGGGTTTTGGCTGCATCAGGGCTCTTATTTTGTGAAAGTCAAAGAGACCTACGTTTGTGATATACCCAGCTACTGATCTATGGTCTAAACTGCGGGGGTTATTTACAGTTTACAGTTTAGAGTCTAAACTACATACTTCAAGGGGATTACATAGGGGATTATGTAGCGGAATACTGTACTATAGGGGTTTTAAGGGGGATACTCGGGGTTTAGACTATGGCTCGGATGACCTTGCTAACGAATCGTCCTTTTAAGTTGTACGAACCTCTACAGCACTCCATTACTTCATGCCCCGAAGTCTTCTGTCAATTCTAGATTACCATACCCCGAGCCCAGTACAGTGGAACCAGATCCAGTATGACTCTACCTCCGGATACAAGGTAGCGAGCCCTGCAACCGCATGACATAATGTGTATGTACATGCCCATGACTTTTATGCATCAACATGTTTCTTTCCGCGCCTCAAAAACAACAAAGTTGAACGATACCTCATACTGCTAGTGAAAGATATCTTTCACAATCTCAAATATCTGAAGCCCTGGGAAGTACAATCCTTCAGACGCTCTTTGTGGGGCAAGATTTCTCTTCCATCATCCACCTCAAGCGCAAAACCCCTACGTAAAAGACCCCGTATGACCTTATAGACTACGGCACCACAATTTTAAAGGTATCAGGTACTGAGGATCATGTAGGGCTTTTATTAAGGGCTTAGGTTTTAAAAAGTCGGCCATAGAAGGATAGCAATGTACAAAGGTCTCCCATCAACCCCATGGGCTACTTAATTCCCGGTTTAGGGTTGAGGTTGTTTCATCCTACAGCCTTGAGCCCTAAACCCCCTTGATGGCCCATGATACTTATCTGGACCCCAAGACTTTATAATTGCCCAAGACCACTACAAATGGCCCAAAAGGCCGTTATTCTGTATACTTTTGGGGTTCAGGTAGTATCAACCGCATCTATGGAAAGAAGGGAAAGGCCTGGAGCGTAGTAGCCACCATTTCCGCATGGCTTTCTGCATGCGCTGAAGGCGTACCTGGCCCGCAAGTGTAGGGATGCTTGATTGGAGCTCAGGGGTTGGGATTTATGGGGTTGCGATTTTGTTTAGGGTTTAGTTTAGGGTTTCAGATCAAAAAGGTGTATATTCGCTTCGACGTTTTGGGGGGTGTGGCGGAGTTTTGAGGCTTTAGGCGTAATTCAAAGGACCCTGGTTTACTCAGAACTGTGTACACACAGATGTGGATAACGAATTTCCGTGTCTTCAGTGGTAATTAAGATTTTTGAAGAATTTCTGGAAATACGGTATACGGTATAGTAAGTAGATAGAATATGGTTTTGGGTATAGTATAGTAAGGTCCCCATATACCCTATATTCTATCTACTTAAGGGGGACGATAGAGTTAGAGCTTAGGAGCCCCCTCAGCTTTTTGCAGGGCAAGCGGATACTTCTGCATTCCAAGTAGCAGGAAGGACACTTGAAAAAAGAAGGACCCAGCAATCGCAGAAACCTCGAGCTCAAATCCTAGACCCTGAAGAGTTTAGTTAGGGTTTATAAGGTTTAGGTATGAAGACTTATAATGTAGACCCCGTATTAATAACCCCCCTCCTTAATAGGGATTATACTAGGGATCCTATCATTAAGGATCATTAAGGCCCTTAAAGGGAGGGGGCTTATTAATCATGAGTCTACATTAGGGTTTAGGGTTTTACATGGCTCATTGTAGACGGATCCGTTGTCGTGGATCTCTTCTGGAGGTCCTGATGCCTACGACCTATAATATATAATCCCAGAAAGCCTTGCCCCTACCACTATGGGCTATTAGACCCTAGAATTCCCAATTAGGACCCTATTGAGGTAGATTAAGGTACCCTTAAGGTCTAATAGCCCATAGTGGTAAGTGCCCACACCCCAAGATCCAGCCTCCGCCATGACTCGCAGTGTCAGGCGCACAGCGCCCGCGGCGGCGCGGAGTCGCCGCCGGGCGCGGAGCCGGCGTTGCAGCAGATGCTCCCTGCAAGGGCCACCATGGGCTCATGGGCGTATAAGGTTTAAGGGTTTACAAGGACTGATAGGGATTTATGGGGATTTCTAGGGATTTATATGGATTTCTAAGGAGTTATATGGACTTATAAGGGACTTATACGGTTTCTTGGATTTTGCAGGTTTCCCGAGCCGTCAAACCACACATAACGCAACCCCAAGTCCAGACACTGTTGGGCAGGACACCCAATACTAGGTACTTTAGGGTTTAGGCTTAGCTACTTTAGGGTTTAGGCTTTATCTACTTTAGGGTTTAGGCTTTAGCTACTTTAGGGTTCAGGGTTTAGCTACTTTAGACTTTAGGGTTTAGCTACTTTGAACAATGTACCGATCGATACACAAGGGATTTATACTGAATGTCTGGAATCTTTACCATTCTTTGAGGGTCTAATTAGGCTACTGTAAGGAGACAAGGGTAGCCCAAAACCCTAAACCCTAATTTGTCATACAGGAAGTCAACCCAGGCTCCAGTTCTTTGGCAAGACTCCGACTATGAAATGGGTCGGTGTGCGTAGAGATTAGTAACAGTACCTAAACCCCAAAAGTATGTAAAATCATAGCCCTAAACCCATCATAGTAGCCATAAAGGCCATTATTTTACATACTTTTGGGGCCCAGGTAGTAACAGTATAGAAAAGCGGAGACGACTATCTACCGGGGACAGCCTGACTGCCTTTGGGGTCGGGGGCTTGAGCCGTAGGCTCTGAAAGGAGGGCCTAAAGGTATCCTAAGGTTCCAAGGACCCAAATAGTAAGGTTTTAGGGCCCAAGTACTATAATATTAATGGTATTTGGGCCCTAAAGTTCTACTATTTGGGTCCTGGGACCCTTAGGTGTATCCATCTCCCCAGTCTCTTACAAGCAGCAGGTAGAAAAGTCGTCTAAAACATGGCCAGCGCAAATTGCTCAGGAGGTTTCCATGGTCTGCGGACATCCAGAAACCAACAGACAGCAATGGCAACAAAAATATATCGGCTGTCCGAAAACCCTACCTGCATCCTTCAGTACAGGTCTTGTGTGGATTCCCAGGCAGACAGTAGGCACCAACTCAAGCCTTTTGATTTATTATTGGGGATCCTTGCGGCATATCAATGCCTTTCAGGGCGCATATGGGACCTAAGCCCTAAACCCTAAACCTTAACCCTAAACCGTGTCCCTAACCCTAAACCCCATGATGGAATACTCGAGGGAGCTTTCATGCGGGGAGCTACCTGGTGGATAACCTTACATTCCATGAGGTTTACATGGGGAACCAGGAGGTACACAAGGGCCGCGCGGGGGAAACTACGCACAAGCACATTCCTTTGAAATATGTGGCGATCACGAAGGTACTACAAAGGTAATTCTGAAAGGCTCTAGATTCCAGACCACTCATCTTGGAAACATCTAAAATACAGCTCAGGCTTTCAATATTTCCCTAAGGGTCCAAGGACCAAAATAAAACGGTTTTAGGGCCCAACTACTATAATATGACTGGTATTTGGGCCCTAAAACCCTATTATTTGGGTCCTTGGACCCTTCGGGTTTTAACAAGCACCCCACGGGGATAGCCCCGTAATATTACAACCCCCATTATAAAGACACCCACCGGACGGGGAGAAAGACCTATGCTAAAATAATTCTGTGGAAAGACTGAGTACACCCATCCAATGCCCTGAAAGGGAGCCCTAACAGTTGGAAACCCACATGTCATATCCCAACCCCTCATTCCTAAACCTGAAAACCATAAGCCTAAAACCCTACATCCCTAGAATGCCCATACAATTCTTAACCAACAGATCCTGAACTCTAAGTCCTAGAGCCCGAAACCTTGAGCCTTGAGCCCGAAACCTTGAGCCTTCAGCCGCCCAAACATGCCTGTATCTCCCTGCCTAAACCCTAAACCCCAAATCCCTAAACCCTGGCTGGACCCCTTAACCCTAAACCCTAGACCCCTAAACCCTAAACCCCTAGACCCCTAAACCCTAAACCCCTAAACCCTGAACCATAAACACTAGTTAAAGAGGCTACGTCTGCAGCCTTGCTGTTGTAAGCAAAGGCTGTAGGCGGCCCACCAACAACGCGCTTGTGGCCAGCCTTTGTCTCAAGATACGGTTGCTGCTAATGTAGACCCCTGATTTGTAGAGGGGTATATTGGGGCTATTTTGGGATAATGGAAAAGACAATGGAAACTACTATTAAGGGTTTAGGGTTTAGGGTCTAGGGTTTGGGGTTGTAGACCCCTGATTCATAAACCCCCTCCTTTTAAGGGCCTTAATACTAGGATCCCTATTTTCATCCCTGTTATGGGGACGGGGTTTATTCATCATGGGTCTTCATTATGGTTTTGGGTCTAGGGTTTAGGGCTCTCCGAGCGGCTAGGGATATAAGAACCATAGTCTCAGGTCGTAATCTCCCCTTAGAAACCCTTATAGTACCCCCCATATAAACCTCTATATAACCCACTTCAAGGAGCTTAGACTATAGCTCATTTAGGGCCATATGTGCCGAAAAGTCTCTTTGCTGCGTTCAGCGCCTCGAACCTTCTGCTAGATGATAGTCTAAACTCTTAGTATCCCCTTAACAACCCCTACAATACTCTGCTGTGTAGCCACCTGAACCCAAAACCCTACACCCTAAACCCTAAACCAGCAATATAATGCTCCCCTATAACATCCTCTTTCGGGCTTTAGGATGACCTACAAGCAGCCATCTCGACAAACCCACACACTCCAGAACGCCGAAAGAAACCCAACGGAAGGGCTTCAGTTAAATCTTGTATAACCCTAAGGGTCCAAGGCCCCAAGTAGGGGGGGGGTTCGGGCCAAATACCATCAATATTATAGTATTCGGGCCCTAAAACCCTATTATTTGAGTCCTTGGACCCTTAAGGCAAACCCTGCATCCTCGACGCCGCCTGGGGTTTAGGCTTTAGAGTTTTTAGGGCCTTAAATTCCTGAACCCTAAGAGAAAAATGGGAAATCCTGGGCCCTCAAACTTATAAACCCTAGACCCTTAGCCCTCCCTAAGAGGGTTTAGGGTATCCTAAGCCCCCAAACCTATGGACCCTAGACGCTTAGCCCTCCATCAAACGCCCCAAAGAAATGCTTCGCCAAGGTTCGCTGCAGCGGCTCGGGCAGCCCGGATTTCAGCGAGGAGCCTCAGTAAGGCTTTGAGTTGGGTACTGCCCCCCCAGTAACAGTCTACATTAGGGATCCTATTAAGGGCTATATATAACCATATTATAACTATTATCCAACTGTTACTGAGGGGGGGCAGTACCCAAGGTTTGAGTTTCGTATATACGGTTTTTGGGTTTTGGGCCTAGATTACATTCAGAGGCTTCTAAGTTTAGAGTTTAGGGATTGGGGGCTCATACCCTGAACCCCCAAACCCCCAAACCCCCCACTCCTAAACCCCAAAACCCCTGAACCTTTAGGCTTCATGCTTCAACATTTCATCCCAAGGAATGCCTAGTAGAGACGCATAGAAACGTAGAATCCCATTATGCCCCGCTTATTCCGCAGAATCTGTGAGTGTACCCGAAATGGTCTCAGGCTTAGGGTTTAGGATTTAAGGTTTAGGGGTTAGGATTTCGGGTTTAGGGTTGGGGTTTAGGGTGATCTTAGGCCTTAGCATTTACTTAGGGCTGGAGGCTTAAGATGCTCAGTGAAGCGAAGGTGTCCGAATGATTGCAAAGGACACTCCGCCTGTCATCATGCGCATGAGAGGAACTATTTCAAATGTGCGTTCAAAGCACGGGCGGACAGTGCTCATATTATCTAAGACCTGAAGCCCCGTTATTTGTGTACTTCGACCCGGAGGGGCAGTTGATAGCCTACATAGACTACACTGCCGTCTTGTCAGATCGGGCCTGCACGCATTGTCGAAGAGCCCGTATCTAATATTTGGACCTCAGTTTCATGAGAAAACAATTTGCAGCCGGGCTGCTTCGGCAAATAGTGGCACAGCTGCACTGCGTGGATCGCTCGGATCCACCTCCCATGCAATGCAGGACGTTTTAAGGTTCAGGCCTCAGGGTTCGGGGCTCAGTGCAAACTACCAGGAATGCAGGGAGAAGGGTTCAGTCTCCACTAAGGATTGTGCAGAGGGGTGGACTTTGAGGAGTTTCAATGTGACAAAGAGTATCGGATCATAGATTCCGGTTGCGGGTACATACCCAGCCAGGTAGACACCCTAAACCCTAAACCCCTAAACCCTAAACCCAAAATCCAAAATCTGAAGCCCCCGGCTTTGCGGGTAACCCAGACCCGCAACCCAAATCCTACGTCCCGAGCCAT